TTACGCTGATTAGTACGTTCATAGACATTCAAAGAGCACCACTGTGCTTGAAAATGTGGCACCTGAATTGTTCAAGTTCGTAACCAGACTCCACCAATCAAAGTGGAGAACCCAATTATTTCCAGGGAGACCCGCTGTTGGTGTGTTTTTCATACTCTGCAGTCCGATTCGCTGCAGGGATACGACATCCAAACGGCACCACAGGTTGCTCGACGATGTGGCGTCTGCATGTTGAAGTTGGTAAGCAAACCCAACGGTCAAAGTGGAGAACCCAATTATTTCATGTTTCATGCTGCAAGTATAAAAGCATCGAAGTTTTAGGCTTTCGCCCCAGCATTGAATCCGCTGCTACCCAATTCCCACTTACATCTATTCATCATGCGATTCTTCACTGCCGTCGCTCTTGCATTCTCCTTCTTCGCCGGCGCTGCGATGGCGCAGGACGTGGGCCAGCCATGCCCAGCTGATCAGGCTGGTATGTACCGTCATCTCATGTGACCAGTGCTGCTTTTCTGAAGGTTCGCAGGTGACGTCGGGTGCGCCAATACCGCCAGCGTCAACGGCGGCAATGCCTACATTTTCATCTGCAACGGCGAAGAGTTCGTCTTGTTCGCGCCTTGCGGTAGCCCGACTGGTTGCATGACCGAGGGCCCGAAGAATGCGGTCTGCACTTCTTAAACAGGAGGTTGGTTGTTGTTTACGTTGAAGATTGTGGGTATACTGATGGCGTTCATGGTAGACGATGCCAAAGTCTGGAATGTGTTTCTGCGAATAAATTTGCGCGTGTATGAAGTTCTCAGAGAATAAATTGAAAGTAATTGCTATTCGTGGTTATTTAAGAGTTAGCAAGGATGAGTAACCCTGCGCCACGGAACTCTGTTCCTTGAATTGAATGTCAAAAAGTCCGAGGAAAAAGGATTCCCTACGGGGTTTCATCTCTGTAAAATACGACTGGAACAAGTCAGATAAAAATTCAGCGAAGGCCAAAACGTTCGACATATTTCCCGCCACAGGACCTTACCCCGAATTGAACGGGGGCCCTGCAAGCTTTACGCAGAATGGGTCAGTGGGTGCAGGTGAGAACCATCCGCCATGGGTCTTGATATCCGTAAATTCAACCCGAACAAATCCGATAAAATTTCAGCGAAGAGCCAAAAAAAAACGTCGTATGGACTACCCATGACCCGACCCCGAATCGAACGGGGTTCCTCCAGTAGCGATGACATACAGTCACATTGAGTGGGGCGCGGACCATTCGCCACGGGTCTTCATATCGTTATAATTCAACCTGAATAAGCTTGATAGGATTTCAGAGGAACAGGCAAAAAACGATGGACATATCTCATTCAGGGCCCAGACCCGAATCGAGGGGATTCCTGCTTCCTTTCCACATTCATCGACGACTGAGAGCAAGCGCAGACTATCCGCTACGAGTCTGCTTGGAGATGAACCTGTAAAAGTAGCAACGCAATGTCAGGGAACGAGGCCACAAAAAGTTTGAGTCACGTATCCCATGACCCGACCCGAATCGAACGAGGTTCCTCCGGCACATGGTAGTTCCCAAACACACATTAGGTGGAGGTGTGGACCATCCGGGAGATGAACCTGTACAAGTGGGATTGAATTTCAGCAAACGAGCCCAAAAAAGTGTCCGTGACTTGCTATAGCCCGACCCCGAATCGAACGGGCTTCCTCCTGAACCTGATAGTAACAATAATTGCTATTAGGTGAAGGTGCGGACCATCCGCTACGGGTCTTCATTATCACTGAATTCAACCTTGATAAGGGATATGTGATTTCGGAGAAACGAACAAAAAGTGCGACGAGTTCGACAGGACCGAACCCCGATTCGGGTTTCCTCGTGCAGTAGAAGGCGGAAGAACATCGGGGGAAGGCGCGGACCATCCGCCCCGGGTCCTCATTTTTGGACCTGAAGAAGTGACATGTCAGAACTTCAGCGATGAGGCAAAAAAAAAAAAAAAAAAAAAGTGATGAAGACCAGCGACGATTCAGACCCGACCCCGAATCGAACGGGGTTCTTCCGGTAGGTGTCATATGCTATACAGCCATATTGGGTGAAGGCGCGGACCATCCGCCACGAGTCTTGCTTTGCTTGCAGATGAACCTGGGTTGAAATAGGATGTAATTTCGGCGATGAGGCAACACAAAAATGTGAAGACCGACTATGACCCGACCCCGAATCGAACGGGGTTCCTCCGGTAGGTATATCACACAGCCACATTGGGTGAAGGCGCGGACCATCCGCCACGAGTCTTACTTTGCTCGGAGATGAACCTGCGGAAGTAGGATGTAATTTCAAGAATGAGACAAAAAAAACTTTAGAGAAAATCCAGTTACGACCCGACCCCGAGTCGAACGCGGTTCGTCCGGTTGCAGATGGCTTACATCGATATTGGGCGGAGGTGCGGACCATCCGCTACGGGTCTTACTTTGCTTGGAGATGAACCTGTATAAGTGGGATGAAACTTCAGCGATGAGGCAAACAAAAGGCGATGAAGACTAGCTATGACCCGACCCCGAATCGACCAGGTCCCTGCTCCAGGTTGACGCATCCGTCGAGGAGTGACTGAGTGTACTGTAGATACGGGCCATCCGCCAGGGGTCTTCTGTTCCTGAGAGGCGAACCTGTAGAAGTAGCATGGAATTTTAGCGAACGAGGCACGAAAAAACCTACGAAGCAGCCACATGACTCGACCCCGAATCGAAATAATGCACCGGCGTCCGGTGAAGATACGAACGTCGACTTCCGTCAACCACTCGCGTCGCTCGGGAATTTCGACGTTCTCAGGAATCAGGATATGACTTGAAAGGAAATGCGAGTTGCTCCCGGCGGGCGGGATTCGGGCTACTTCTGGTACGTCGACATTCCCTCGAATTCGACCTCGGGTCTGTGGTAAGGTAAGTGAATACCGGTAACAAGGCGTCGAGTACTAACCGGACACGCACGCAGGAGTCTAGTCCGGAGTCTTCCATTTCCAGACAGAAGTCGGCGTAGGTATCGAGCGGACGTCGGGCGGGGGGGGAAAATCGGGAATGTCGCATCCGAATTCCGAGACCAACGAAGTTCCATCCACGAAAAAGTCTCGCAAAACAGTCCAAAAGCGAGCAAGTAATACGGCGGAATGCGCCTTCTAACAATTCCCTGGCCCCCTACAAAAAATACAGCAATAGGTTATGTTACAGGTATATCGAGCACGGTGTATACCCAATACTCAATACGCAGCAGGCTAGCTCATGTCCATGGCGCCTCCGTTATCCGCGCGCGAAAGCAAGTCCTCGTCGAATTCGCTCCAGCTGAACAGGTCGTCCGCGGGAATGTCGGCGAAGTCGGCAAAGGCCGCCTGCGCCTCGAGGGCGGCCTGCGCTTCTAAGGCGGCTTGCGCTTCCAGGGCGGCTTGCTCTTCCAGGACGGCTTGCTCCTCGAGGTACGCCTGCAGCGCCGCGTCGTCCTCGAGGAACTCCGCGACGGCCGCGAACTCCTCTTCCGCATCCGCGGCTTGGGCGGCTAGAATAGAGGGGATCAATGTCTGTGACAGTAGGAAGAAGAAGGAGCGAGAGAAGGCACGCACCTAATTCAGCCTCCCACTGCTCCTCCATGGCGGGGTCGAACGAGGAGCCCACCTCACGGTCGTACGAATACATGTACGCGTGCTGCGTTTTGCGCTGCGTGTTGTTCATGATCCGCGTAAAGAGCTGGGTAGAGGTTGGGGCCAGCAGCGGGGAAAAGGGGGCTGTGGCACGCACCTCGTCAAATATAATATCATCATCTTCGTCCATGTCCATATCGTCCATGTCGTTGCTCCCAGCCTCGCTGCTGCTTGCGAGCCGCCGCTTCTGAACGGCGCGCTCGCGCGCCTTGGACGCGCGCTCGACGCACCGCAGCTTCAGTCGCGTGCGCAAAAACGCCTTCTGCGAGTCGTCGCCGTCGTCCGCGAATTGGAGTGGCCGTGTAGTGGTGCGCGAGGAAGACGATTCCACCGGCAGACTGGGGGTACGCGCCTTGTACTGCGACCGACGACGCGCCTGGACTGCGGCGATGGGGGAGGAGCCGGGGCTGCTGTTGGTGGGCGCGAGGGGCGACGAGTTGGCCGGCCTGTGTGAGTGGGCGCGGCTGCGGCCTGGGTAGGATATGGGCGTGGAGGGGATCTGGAGGTGCGGAGGCGAGTTATGCATGAGGGAGGAAAGAGGATTGGTCACACTCAGGTGTGACTACATGTCACGGCGGACATTCAGCGGCCAGCTGTCACCTGCTTGTCACTTGCGCGACAGTTGCAGCTTGGTTGCGGCAGGTTGCCGCGGCATCTGACACCGCAAGGCGAGGTCCATGGTGCCATCAGCTACCAATGGGCGAAATGTACGCGCCGTAGCGGTTGAACTGGTACTGATTAACACCCAACTGACGAGGGATATCATAAGTCCTGATGTGGTCCCACAATTGGCACCACCAATTCACTATCCAGAACATGGTAATTTTTGTAGGCCAAAGTTATATGCTGCTGGAATATGCGTACAGGAGGCGGGCGGGAAGTTCGATGATTGATGATATTACGACAATATTAATCTCCCCGGCCAGGCTCGAACAAAGAGATTGTTATCCTCGGGCCGAACAAAGCAGTTCTTTCTTTCATGCCTCGACCTGCCAGCCACCTGCGCATTACATTTGAACTGCCTTGGCCTTGCCTCCTGTGACTTTGCTTGTTTACAATCTACGATCACGTGTGTGTCACGCTCGCGTCATCCGCACCCGACGCGAGCCGACGCGTCGACAACGCGTCCAAGGTTAGTTGGCGAGCAAAGAAAATGACAAGTAGTCCATGGTAAAGGGTGATTGTGCTAGCGTACTCAAGTTTTTCGAGTAAGGCAACATGGTACAGATTCGTTTACCGTAATGCTATGTGATACAAAAAAAAGAACCCATATTCTGAAACTTCGCAAGGCAGGGAAGGGAATACGACAAGCTCCGGCCCATGTAATTTTTGTGCCACCAGAAGGAATCGAACCTCCGTCCACCCGCCGCCGAATTCACTGATCGGCGGGGTGTTCTACCACTGAACTATAGTGGACACGCCGACTCACCTATGTTCGGTCGATACATGATCCCCAATGGCCATAGACGGTGCTGGTAGGCATTCATCCTACCTCCACAATGTCAGCCCATAAAATCCGAATCCGCCGAATGATAATTGTATTTCATTGTACGTGGCCGCAATTGAGCGAACATCAGCCTGTGCCGTGGTGAGAACATGAATTAATGGGAAATTCAGAAGCACTGAGAGGGTACACTGCCTGATTTCGGAAGAGGTTCCATTGAGATTGCAAGTTGCGGGCACAGTGAGACTACAACGTAAAAACCGTTCTTTGACGACTTGGGGATGCTCTTCGTTCGTTGAAATGTGTCGTGGTTCTAATCTAGTCTCCCGTAGTCAGACTCCATAAGATTTATTATAGTCGATAAATCTATAGTTCTAACCCCATCCACCCTTTTCTTCATCTCCTTCGCTCTTCTCTCTTGCTCTGGCAGTTATTCTCGGGACCAATTATTGACACGCCCGTAGTTCAACAGGTGGTCACCGGGAATAACAGCTGAACCCCCTGCAGCAACTACTTACTACATATGCACTGCACCGTAGAAGCAATTTCCAACAATGAGTTTTGTTTTCGGGCAATCCTTCACTCGCTTTGTCAATCTCGATGTTCTGTCAAAGGCTAGGACGCCGCGTGGTAACCAGTTCAATTCCTTGTGCAGCTGTGCTGCAAAAATATTCAAGCTCCGATCTGCATTCTCTGTGTCTCTGGTATACATGCTTCTCCTGCATAATGGTCCTCTCAAATTATTAGTTATATTTGCTGCTGTGACTCGGGTCTTTCCCCGGCAGCTGAATTGCTCTCCCTTGGTCCGCCTTGTTCCCATTTCTTTCGTAGTTACCTAGTTCCCATGTCGAATATTCTGGTTTCGCTGCGCTTGCATCACCGTACTCCGATTGAGCTCTATCTTTCTGATCACCTTATCAGACAGTTCAGGTAAGGTTGCATGCCTCGTGAATGGACAAATTACCCATTTTCCTTCACTCTCTGCGGTGAAAAGACCCACGGAGACTACATACCCCTCCGACACACAGCCTCCATATGATATGTATCTGATTGGTTCCCGCATTTGATACAAGTCTAAAGCATGTACCATTTGCTTAGTGTGGCACAAAATATGTCGCGGAAAAATCCGAAACTTGGAGCTTTGCAAATCGAAATTTAGCTTTACACCGGCTAACGACACGTAGAATGAGTCGGACTGGTAATGTTGCAAGATTTGCAATCCTGTAGTGATCAGAACCAAAATCGTTACTCGAGTAGCCGAGGTCGTTCGAGCTCAGCGGCACCAGCGATCAGCAAGCACTCTGTAATTGACAGTCTAGTCGCTAGCAGTCCGCCGTATAAAGCGTATGCGATTTCCTTTTGAAGAACGGGACGACGCGTTGTTTGATTTGCATCAGGTCCAGGTCATTCCAGTGTCCGATGATTCATCAAAATTTAATAGCTGCTCCACAAACTTCCCTGGGGTTCCACACAATTTACTTGCTTCCTTCCACCTTCGTGGACCTGCGGTCCGCAGCGTCGCAGCTTTACCCTGGCGGCAAAAGCCGTTGTCAACCGAAAAGATAACTCCGGGATCCCGAATATCGCAGCTAGTATCGCTTGGCGTCTCTTGGCGACCTCAGATAATGTACGGAGCCAAAAACCATCCCGCAACAGATGTCTGGTATCTTCAAGCATTCGGTTTGCTCTTCAACGTGCCGTTTCTTTTGTTGACATTCTCCAGGAGGTAAGATCCGGTTGGCGTCCCACCAGCTCCCACACATCTTCTCCTCGTGATAGTGATAGTGATAGAATTATATACGACGGCATTTTACGTTTTAATGTTCCATGCACCAATGAATTAGGTGGAGGATCGTTGTCATTCTGCTCCGCAGGAGTATGTTAATGCGCAGTAAGCCGAAGTATGTAAGATCACCAAGCATTCTAACGTAGTGTTTCAAATGCTGTTGCTCCGCTCAAGTAGGCACTTTACGTTTTAATGTTCTATGCACGAATGAATTAGGTGGGGCATCTTTGTCATTCTGTTCCGCAAGAGTACGGAATGCGCAGTTAGACGAAGTATGTAAGATCATCAAGCATTCTAACGTAGTGTTTCAATGCTGTTGCTCCGCTCAAGTAGGCATTTTACGTTTTAATGTTCTATGCACGAATGAATTAAGTGGAGCATCCCTTGTTCTCGAGCCTCAATTTTTGGCAACGTTTGACTAAGCACAGAATATAAAAGCCCTCGTACATGTCGCATTATATACCCCAACTGAAATCTTCACCTAGAAACTCAACCTCGTTCACAATGCGTTTCTCCACTATCCTATTTTCTCTTGCAGCGTTGTTCGTTGCTGTTGGTGCCACCCCTGGGTATAGTGTCAATACGAGGGGTGAGCTCGTTTCTCGCCAAGACGTAAGCTCTTTTCTTTAGTCTCCCCGTTTTATTTTGCCCACAGGCTCAATGTCATGTAGTGCTGCGAGGACCCCCCTGGCTGCGGTTGCCCTGACGTAAGTTGATTTTCTTTCCATCGCCCTCGAGCGAGCACTGACTTCCACCTGATACAGTTCTGCTCCGGTGCCTGTGCCGGTTGCTGCCCCTAAAGTGGCTATCGTTGATTCGCTTCGAGGCTATAGTAAGTTAGACACATTTTTATTCCAAAAAGTTCATGGTCCTTATATGGATGCGGCAGAATAGCAGCGAAGAAGCGGAAAGAAATGTAGTGAAGCAGAAATAAATGTAATTAGTTTGAATGGCAGAAGTATCAGATATTATGAACGACTGTACGAGTGCGCATAAACTCCAGTTGAAGACAGAATGGGGGGTGAGAGTCTGTGGTAATCACCTTGGAATCTGAGTCGATTCCCACAGGAGGCATTGCCAGTCTGTTTATTCTTTAGTATGCAGAGGCCATGGGAGGGTACACAGATACAGAGCGAAATGGAGGTGGTGGGGAGGAGAGGAAGGCTGGCGACCGGGTTAATCAGCGCGAGTTGGTGGCAGTGAAAGTTAGCACGATCAGATGACTGTCGCGTTACTTGAAATAAAGAGACGCGTCAAGCGATTACGATTCGCGAACTTGATTATACTGAAGCATAGGAAGACGTCGAATAAAATAGCCCTTCTAATACGAATGGTCAAAAAGCAGTCTCCAAATGGTTTCACACCCGAACGATATTATCCATCTCCGGCGAAACTCCCCGCCAAACCTCTACCATCTCGTCCCACACCTTTTGCTGGATCTGCATACCGTCCTTGCTGCAGGTCCACGCCGGCGGTCTGTTAAGTTAAATAGTTAATCAAGCGGAGGGGGAAGAAATCAGGAGAATACACACTGTCGTATCTCGCAGGAGCTGATGTACGCCCCAGGCGGTGTCGGGCTCAGCACCGCGTAGATCATGTTAATGGATCCCTTGGATACTGGCCACGCAATCGCGCGAAAGAGATATCTAAACACGTTGCGGTTAGCGCATCTGTGCATGGGGATTGCACTCACGATCGCGAGATGGCTGCTTCGCCCTGACGATCTTGCCCGATGTCAGACATACACAGGCCCGGGTCGACGACACTTGGGGGAAAGAATCAGTCCATTTTCAAGAGTCGCAGCAAGGGACATACTTGATGACGACACCTTCCGCTTCCGGTAATGTCGAGATTTGGCGGGCAAGGAATAAATTGAAGATTTTGGTGACAAAGTACCGGTCCCGACTGCCCGTCGCCCATTTCGACGAGTCGTTCAAGGCTTTGAGGATGTTGGTTTCCCGCTTTTCGCGAAACTGCGCCAGAAATTGGCCTGTATGCGACATTAACATTGTTGAGTTGAACAGCGGGATACGGCGCACCTGCAGAGCCGGTGATAGTCAAGTGAGGCGGCAGTTGGGAAGCATCTGGATGAGGAGGCGGGAGTCTTGTTGTGGCCTGCAGCAAAGGAAGCAACAACACTGCCAAAAGCCCCGTGGCAATTCCATTGACCTGCAAACTGAGGAGTTATCAGTCGTCAATGGGTCGTTTCGAAATGCCATAAACACGCACGTCTTCTCCCATCCATCTGCCGTCGTTTCCCATCGCTCAGGCTTCGCAATCCCGGCGTTGACAAGCGCGCCGTCCAAACGAATGAGACTGTTTTTGGCCTTCTCTGCGAAACTAGTTACGCTGTCGAATCTCGCCATATCGAGCTCCCAGATGTCAATGGTGCCCGCAAACTTTGTCTGCGCAATAATTTCGTTCTTGGCCTTTTCTCCTTTATTCAGATCGCGGACGCCAAGAACAAGATGCGTGGCGTTCAAGCGGGCGAGGTGAATAGCAGCAGCGAGCCCCAAACCGGTATTGCTCCCCGTAATTAAGTAGGTGCGGCCTGCCAAGTCGTAGTCGGGGAGTTCAAGTTTAGAAAAGAACTGATCCGGTAGAAAGCTGAAAAGTACGCGCCCGAGAGCACTGAATGTTTGTCCCATTTCGCGAATGATCTTCCAGGCTCGTGTGTGCCCGATATATACTTACCACCGGCATCATCATCTTTGACCCCCGTCCGCCTTTCCGCCTTTCCGTTATACCGTGTTTTCCTGTTGTCATTTCCCGAAAATCGGAGATTGTCAATTCGATTAAGTAGCATTGATGAGGAGACGATGGGAATCGCGCTGCACGTTAAATTTCGTTAAACGCTGTTGTTACCATTCCGAGGAGATGCCACGAACAGGAAGCAAGTACGCGAGTAAGCAGTACTAGTAGCGGTGGACTCTGGAGCTATGTAAGAGTAAAAGAGCGGCCTATCGGGCCGGAGGCAAACACAGCCAGTGATCCCTCTTGAAAACAACTCGGGTTGTTGGATCAATGTTCTACTTCACAACCCCGACGATTTATAACTTTGTCACAGAAATAATGCCAGCAACAGGCCTAATACCCAATTCCCACGTAAAAAATTGTTTGAGTGTGGGCGCGCAATGATGAACGCATGTCTAACGCCTCTGGAGCTTTCCCTGATTTATTCCAGCA